TTCTTGTAACCATTTGAAAGACAAATTAGATTTTCTAGAATTTTTCATTTTTAATTTTTTTGATATCTTTTTTTCTAATTTTATTCTTTATTAATAATGCTTGTAAAGTGAAATTTTTTGGAATTTTTATGCTTATTAATTCAAAATTTTCTGGAATTTGAATAGTTTTATTTGCAGAGCGGAAAATTTTTCGATGTCTTCACTGTCTGTACCAAATATTGACGGTGATGCAAATTCAATATCTGAAATTGCATCACTTCCGATGGATCTCAGAAAGTAACCTTGAAAAATTTATATCCTATAATGGATAAAAATTAAAAAATAACCATTTCTTAGTTTATTATCTGTTCATTATTTTTTTTTCTTGAATTTGTATAAATTATACTATCCGGTTTAGCTTTTACACGTTCAACTTTTTCTTTTTAATGAAATTTGATGAAATCAATCAATTATCTTGGAGTAAAATTTCAGTTCGGAAGCTATTGATCGTAGTGTTCAAGCACGGGTATCATTAGCTGATCAGGAGCAACAAATTGAGCAATGTAATTTAAGTGGTTGCGCTGTACAAACGGATATTGCACAATTTCAGGTTGATGAAATTATGCTCAAATTGCATGATTTACAGGTAAGAATTTCCATTTCCATAATAGATTACATATTATAATTTTTTAATTGAAAACAAAATTCGAACAATTATTGATAATTTTGCAGGAAATTTTTGAATTTGATTGCTCTAATTGCTATGAGAAATTTTCGAATGATTTTTGAATGACTAAATGATTGTTTTTACAGGAATTATAATTTATTGCAAATATTTTAAGGCAAGAAATCGTCCAAAATTAATGGATCGTAGCATGGGAACATCATTTGATATTACAGTTATACAAAAAGAAAATGAAGAATTAAACGTTGATCATGATAAAACACCTGTACGATTTGTAAGTTACTAAGGAATATTTTAAAAATTATCAATAATTTGAAACGAAAAAAAAACAAACAAACGAAAACAAACCAGATCTTTACGATTCATGATTTACTATGGAATATTTTAAAAATTCTCAGTAATTTGAAACGAAAAAGCAAACAAACGAAAGCAAAATCAATCATTACGATTTGTAAGGAATATTTTGAAAATTATCAATAATTTAAAACGAGAAAAAAAAAATAGCAAAGCAAAATAGGATGCTTCAACGGAAACCGAAACATTCATACCGGAAGTGATAGAAGAAAGTGCAGTAACAGAAGAAACCAATCAGGTATTCAATCGATCGATGGAAACAGATGCATGGATGTCGCAGATACAAACACCGGAATGCAGTCGAGCTGTGCAGACAGCATTTGATGATGATGATGATGATAATGATGAAGTAATTAATTGATTTTTTGAAATAAAATGTAATTTTTGAAAGCGAATTTTATCTTATTAATTTAACATTTATTGCAAATTACTAATAATAATAAAATTAAGAATCGATTCAAACTATCAGCAAAACGAAACAAGAAGTCTGGATTCATCAATTCATTTTTAACTGATAATAGGTTTGTTTAAATAGTTATTGTTTTCTTTTTTCTTTTTCTTTTAACTCATATCATTGTTATCATCTTTTTTTCTTATTACTCATATCAAAGTTACTGTTTCTCATTTTTCTCATGTTACTCAACAAATTTTCCATTTTAGAAATAGATGAATAAACATAGATATTGAAAAAAAAAAAGACGATTTCTGAGGATTTTAATTGCATAGGATTGATCAATGCAACGGTTTTTTAAAAAAAAAAAAGAAAAAAAAAGCGATCTTCTATGAGATTGCAATATATGATCAGATCAGATCAGATCGGATGGAATATGAATTGAATTTAAACTGGATCATTTTCATCTCATTTATTTCGATTATTTAGCAGAGCATATTTTGTTGAAAATTAATGATTGCTAAAATTATCATTTCTATATTGATTTATCGATTGATTACAGTACGCAATGTTTGATCGATACGAAAGATACGTGTGATACATTTGTGCAAACAATGCTTGATATGAATAATTTTAATTCAATTGAAAATTCGATTGAGAAAGAATGTAATATGTCAAAAATATCATCCAATGGACGAATGAGTGATGTAAGCGAATCGGCACCAAAATGGATTCGACCAAAACGACAGGTTAAAAATAGATAGCTTATTAATTTCCATATTATTATAATATTTGAATTTAAACCTTTATCATTTATTTATTAGATTCTTTCTTTTCGGATAAAATCGACATGTTTTAATAACTCGAAAATTTCATTTGATATAATATTTGATATTTCAATTATTTGAATATCATAATGATATCAAATGTGGTAATTTGAATTAATCAAATTACAGGATCTCGTTATTCAAACCGATGATTCATATCTAAAAATAGCTCGACGATTAGATCAAATTCGAACAAATCGTACTGAAAGTTTACATATTTGTATGGCAAAACCGTTGAAGAAAATGCAACATGAAAGTAGTGGGTATGTAATGAAATAAATTACAAAAAAAAAAAAAAAAATTAACCGAAATTAGTATATGCTTTGGAAAATTTTTGTGCATCATTTAGTACTGTTAAAATTATTTCAAAATTATAAAAAGCAATAATTGAATAATTATAAATCAAAAAAAGTGAATATGTTAAAAAGTAAGGAAATCTGCATAACTAAGCAAATAAAGCCATTTTCATATAGCTCAATGAAATAAAACTAAAATCATTATTTTTGAATTAATTTTAGCTCAAATCATATAAGCTAACATTATTCTGAATAGCAATTAATTTTAAGCTCAAAACATCGTACCGAACATCAGGATGAATTGGAATTGTCAAGCACTAGAAGGAAAGATCAAAATCGGGCCAATGACGAACAAATGTTATCATCAACTACAAGGTTTTCTACTTTCATTTGCCATATTATAGTTTATTTCTTAAAATTAGCCATATTCATTTGCAACGTTTTTAAAATAAAATTTAAATGTCATGTTACAAAGCTGATATTTTGTGAACTAAAGCATATAAATTATCATTTTTTTAAAAGAAAATTATAAAATTTCAGTGCTCCAGAAACGACGGAAACAAATACATCCGAAAATGATCGATCATTTTTAGCATCAAAATATGATGTCAGCTAAATCCATTCACTGTTTACAAGCATTTCTATTTCCATTTTAACGTACAAAAAAGAAATGAAAAATAAAAATAAAAAATAAAAATAAAAATTCATATTTTTGTTGTTACTGCCATCACATTTTCATTTCACAATAAATGAATTTTTCTACAACTGCTACAATAAATATATAATTTGAGGGAAAATTTTCATTTCTTCAATCCTTTTCTTTCTCTATCCCTCTCTCTTCTCCCTTCTCTGACCTCTCAACTTATCCATATTTTTTTGCAATGCGGAAATGTCGCAGTTGTTAAAAGGCGCGCACATACACACACACGCACACACATTGCATACAAATGATTAACTAATCACCGACAACTTCTTTATGCTCCCTCTGTAACAGTATCCACTATCTGAACCAATTTTTTCAAGCGATAGCAGTAACACGATTATTCTCGCAG